AGACTCCTTGGAAAGTCCGGAAGAGCTTCTCGAATCATACTGGTGATCTGCCGAAGGCTGCCTGCGGACTGTGTAGTGCCAGGGCTTCTGGCTAAGGAAACATAACAAGCTATCACAGAAAGGACAAACAAATGCGGATAAAGCAGCAGTGTATATTATGAAGAGCTTCCTTACTGTGGCAACTTCAACGAGAACTTGCCCTGGAATCCGGACTTGTTTCGATCCATCCAAGGCTTTCAATCTTGTCTCCCGGCCTTTGGTGAGTGAAGGCAAGGTTGTGTTTATCCTGTGGGTGTAGGATGAGATTTCCGCGATGCATGCTCCTTCCTCAAAGTGAGCGTGTAGATCGCTAATTGTCGGAAAGGACGGAGCCTCAAAATCGGCATAGTTCTTTCGGCCTACGTTCCCGAGTACTTGTTGCATCTCTTGCAACTTGTGACGATCACGCATCACGCATGCATGCGAAGAGAATGTCATGAGGGCGGCACCCATTCGGCAGTGGAGCAACGAGCCACAGTCGACCAACATGACGAAGCGAAGCTTCCTCCACAAATTGGAGGGTAGGCTCCAAGTTGAGGAATACGGTTGGACTCCACGCTGAAGAGCTTGCACTTCATTGAGCCCCATGTCGAAGTTAAGGGGCTGAAAGACCCATGCTTAGTACCAAAGTCCCGGCTGAAGCACTCCGAAAATGGCTGCGTCCTGCATTTGGTGGCAAGCTGGCGGCACAGCGCAGAGGTCGCAATGTCCACCTCCTCAGCACGAAGCTTCCGAAAACATGCCGGCCTGTAAGAAAAGGCAAGACCCCAAGCATGAAATGCCAAGCGACATCTCTCTGTCCCATGCGCATTGCGTCACATGCTGCGCGCTGTCGAACCGAGAGTCGCTTCCACGCGTGTCAAACTGGCCAGGCGCATCTACGATGACTGTGCCGCTGGAAAGGCGATGTGCCCGTAGGTTTTGCCTTGGGGGCAAGAAAGCTTCGAACTGGCAGAAACTGATCACCAATTCTGGGCTCTCGAGACAAGTCAACGCCCCAGGAGTTTGCGACGACAGGTCACGTATGTAAGAAACATGATGCAGCATCTGCCAATGTGTCAACTATCGATGCGCTGCCCGGAGATGCACTGATGCAAACAGCATGTCCAAACAATCTTGGCAAGCAGTGTACGCGACAAGAGTATTTGACTAGTGACTAATCACTTGCAACTTCAACTGCTCCGAGTGAAAAGCCACGCTGCGTCTCTGATGTCTCTTCGTGACCGATGGTAAAACCATCCAGTGCCTTCTCGGCTTCCTCGCTTCGTGACGGCTGTCTCTATGTGTGCAGAGGGTGGGGTGCCAAACGCAAAGGTTCGAAAGGGGCAAAGAAATGCAATGAATCGAAGGGTTAAGATTCCTGACGTGCGACAAGAATCATAAACCTTCTTTCCTGCAGCGCCGTGAGATGCTGCAACAAGCCGAAGTCCTTCACAAGGCGGCGAGCTTTCGACGGGTCAAGGGCAAACTCAATCTGATGTGAACCCCGAGATGGACATGACGGACAAACTATAACGCAGCCCTTCGGCGTGTCGAGCACGGGCCTTTCATGTCCCTTCGTTTGTCTCTAGGTCAGGTCGTATCTGTCAATGAAGTGCCAGTAGACTTATAGTTGCCCGGCGCAGAGGTGTAAAGCCACATGCTTGCCCATGGCGCGGGTGCAACCCTCGGCATCTTCCCGGATTGCGCGTAGCCAGTCATCCGACAAGTATGAAGTTAGGTTTGCGGCAAGGCAGGGCAAAGTCTGATTTGATCTGCAAAAACGCACTGCACCGTATCTTCGGCAATCCATTCCGATCCTACTGATAGCGAGTGGGGGTTCGGTCGAACCTCGGACGGTAATGTCGTATCATTCCCGAAGCTTTCGTTCCAAACCCTGCGCACGGGAAGTTTCGAGCTCCCCGCTGGCAAGCTTAGCCACACGCACCCTGAAAAACAAACAAACACACCCGCCTTGGAAAGAATTTGCCCAGTACCTCGGTCCTGACATGCTGTACACCAAGGAGGTCTTTCCCGAGCCAGTGCTTCCGAGCAGAAGCACAACATCCTCCCCACAGGACGTCTTCCTTGCGGCTTAACCATGTTGATCGCCTCTTACGAATTCCTATAATCCAGATGTTTATCCAAACACTGGCAGTAGAGTGTGGGGCACACAGCTTACGCTATCGTTAGATGCAGTAGGACAAGGAGAAATCTTGGGGGCTTCTATGATTCTATGATGTGTGATACAACTTAAACACGACAACGAAGATGTAGAGATATGGTGTGTTTCTTATGTATGTGTGCCTATAAGTGTGTGTGTGTGTGTGGGCTTGTGTGCATATTTATATGTCTATACACACGCATGTATATACTAAAATATGTGTATGTATATATATATATATATATATATATATATATATATATACATATACATGCACATATATATATATATATATATATATGTGTGTATATTTATATATATATATATATATATATATATACACACACTTATGTAAAAGAAACAAACAAAGAACATGAACATCGCGATATACATGAACAAATATGTGCAGATTTATGTGTATAAATATTTCTTACATGCTACATTTAATTTTAGAGAGAGAGAGAGAGAGAGAGAGAGAGAGAGAGAGAGAGAGAGAGAGAGAGAGAGAGAGAGAGAGAGAGAGCGAGAGGGAGGGAGAGAGAGAGAGAGAGAGAGAGAGAGAGCACTGCCTATATGCATTGAATATACATGTCACATTCTTGGGCTTGTGCACTTTGGAGATCAGGGATCTGACATGCCGTTGCAGGCTTTAAGCTTTTTGTTGAGAGGCTTTGGAGAAATGCACGCACAAATAAGGCCACGCAGTCCCGATACGTATAGTTTGTGTTGAGTTGCACTGGATCAGAGCGTGGGCAAACACTCTGATTGCTGCTCTATTCAGGCATCCGAAAAGCGAGGGTCTTCAGTGGAAGCATCTTGCAGTCTGCCATGCTCTGAAAATTCTGAAAACTGCTTATGAAGCTAGCCACAGATGCAATAGGGGAAATCAGTGGGGAATCCGTGTGGTGAACTCGATCTCCATCTGACCTCCACGGACTTAGGGGCCCTAACCCGAAGTTCCGTACTCAATGCCGAAGAACAAGGCTGGCTCCGAATCGTGCATGAACTTTGCCAAGGCTTGCAGGTCCTCAGGTCGCGGGTCATGTACGGTTTCGTCGCTCACGCTCGGACAGTCCAGGCGAGGCATGTGGTGCGAGGTCTGATGAGTGAAACAATCGGAAGGGGGGAGTGGAGGGCCCAAAGAACACATCCCCCATGTTTATCCCTCCCACTTAGCGGTTTCAGGTTGTGTATCCAGAATGCAAGCTTGCAGGGTTTGTAGGACATAGAAGTTCAGGCTTGGAGGTTCAAATGAATGAAACGGATTGTGTCTGGAGTCTGTGATTTCGGGTAAGGTTTAGGACTTGGGCCTCACGGTGTTAAGGGTTCTTTGGAGAAGAAGTGTCGCTACAAGCTCCACAGTGACCGATTTTTGCCCTGAGCTTGATATAGATGCCAAAACGAAAATGTTAGCATGCATCGCCTCCGTACAGAGACTCCTTTCTATCGCTCCTCTGGACCCTGGGACCGTGACCCTCCAAACCGAAACACCACAAAATCTGCACCGTTGGTCCGTGCGTTGCAAATGGGCTTGCTCAATGACAGAAAGTACCACCCTCAGGCGTGTTGCCAGGAATCTGCATGAAAGCCTGCACCTTAGACCTCAATGATCCTCTTGCTGGCCAAGTTCCAGGCTCGGGGCCTTCTTCGGTTCGGGCGCATCGAGCCTGCACACTCGTTGCAATCCAACTCAGCCCTGTAGCCTGTAGTTGAGAATTCGCACTATCTCGATCATCAACCATTTGAGGCAACAAAACAACGTACACACACATGCAAGTTTGCGAAAATGGACAAATCGTGTACATGCCTTTATTGAAAATTCATTTGTGTCTGCCCACATTGGACGTTCATCTGAAGAGTGTGTACACGCATGCCAAGATAACTACTTGCAGGAATTACATGGGAAGGTCACAGCCACATGCATGACATGCATACCCGCATGCATGCATGCACTGCATTCATTCATGCATACATACATACATACGATCTACCCAGCCATCCACCCAACCACCTGCATGCGTACACGCACAGAGTGGCCTGCATACGTATATGCGTGCACACGTACACACATGCACTTCATTCATACATGCAAACACTCGTCGTGCATACACACATGCAGACGTAGATACATACATGCATGCAGGCATACATGTATACACACACGAATAAGCAGTGCATACATACAAAACGACATGCACAACGACCTATATCATCATACATCCATGTATCCGTTCATGCATGCAAACATACACGAAGACATGCATGCATACACACATGCAACTCAACACGCATACTTACATACAAACATACATTCATGAATGCACTTGCCGAAATTATGCATTCATTCGTCCTTGCATGCCTGCATACACCCATGCACGGACGTGCGCGGGGTTTCATGCGTGCATGCGTTCTCGCCAAAAGCTGACGCACACATACATCCACCATCATCCAGCCACACATACGCACTTACATGCCCGCATGCGTACACACGACGGACAGACATACCTGCAAAAACCACTTTCCATCATAACCGCTGGACGAGTGATGTGCAAGTTACGACAGAAGCAAGGAACATCAATGTACGCTGCGGGCAGGGCCACATACCTGCGTCTAAGGACTCTCGGAGGGGGCACCTCAAAGCCGGATCGACCAGCTTGTATCACTAACACCTCTGGGACTGCGAACCCAACCTGAGGGCCTGTCGTGCTGCCAGGTTGCTCCTCAAGCTCACCGAACAGGGCCGAGCTGTCATCATGGTCCTCGTCGCTCGCGTCTGGCGGCCTCAGGCAGTATGCATCTTTCTGGCTGTAGTTCGGGGGTCCGGCTTGCCCTCCAGAACATGTCTGGTTTGGCACTCGGTCCCTGATGGTCCCTGCGTATGCAGGTTCAGGGGTTAGCAGGCCTCCGTCGAGCTGAAGTGTAAAAGGAAGCAGCTGTGTTGAAGTCGGCAGAACCAGTTGTAAGTGCTGGTCGGGCCACAAGAGAATGCACTTCCGATAAACTCCAGCCACTGCTGCTCGACTCCCAACTGAAGACCCGACAACAAGTGCTCGTCGGAGGCCCAGGCACTTGCGACAGGCTGATGTGTCGTGTTTGGGACTAGGCGGCATGCCGAAGCTCCGGTAGTTTAGTCTAGCCGCCCGGAGTCCCTCGTGCTGGAAGTCGGTGGCGATCCCTGCGAGCATTGATCTGAACTAGGTTTGGATTTGGGCCGTTATGTAACATAAGCACGGCCTTGAATACGCCTGGGAGGTGATGAAAGCAAGCGTGCCAAGTCTTTTAGTGTTGTAAATAGTAAAGTCAGAACATTGAAGCAGCATCCCGAGACTACTTGATCTTGGTTTCGTGATGCAGCTCAGGCTTGGTACACTGCTGGACACTGACTGCACGCAGGCCGGCGGCGCCAATAACAACTACTACAGTACGTGTCCAGCCCAGTATCCCGCACTCGCCCCAACAAAACACGCCACTGCGGCTCCTCTTCCTTCGGCTGTCGTGGCGGCGTAGCCTCGTCGGTCAGATCCCTTGATGCCTCAACCTTGCCCGAAGACCTAAGCCCCGAAATGTCACAGGATGTTCCAGGATGGGGACCATGCAAGGCCCACTCTACGACCACCATGTGATACCACGCAACGCTGAACGGCCTAGGCAAGGAAGAGCGGCATTTTAAGCCTGACCATCAAAAGCCCAGCCACGGATGAGTTTACTGTGTACTTACACACACACACACACACATGCACACCTGTAGCGCTATAGGGTATACGATAAAGCCTGAACCCAAGCCCTCCTAAGCGTCCGAACCTTTCGAACAGTACGTGAGACACTCACTTGCCCTTGGACTCCGACTTCAAGCTAACCTACAGTCCAAACGCCAAGTCTCAGACACCCAAGGGGAAACCCAGTATAGAATCATCACCAAGTACCCCAAGCATGTAGCGACCTCGGCCGGGTAGGCAGAAAGAGGGGAGTGCCCGCCTTCAAAGGGCTGCTGGCGGCAGCCGGACGTGGAGACCCCATTTCCTTGAGTGAGGGCTCCGTCGCGCAACCTACATGGTTTCTCATTGTTCCATTCAGCGACTTTTTGTTGACAGGATTCGGACTCTCTTCAGGATTCAGGAGTCTAGACTGACTTTGTGCCTTCTACAGCATTTGCGCTCTCACGACTCGGACAACCCAAATGAGGTCTCAAGCACCGCTGGAGTCACTCCGCAGGAATGGCGAATAGCTTGGGGACTTCGAGTGCTGAGAGTCCAGCTTAACGACCGCAGCATGGGATGCTGTTAGACTACGGATGACTGCGGGACTACGGGCCATGGTGCCACAGTGTGCGCTGCTCAAGTCGCTAAACATGAAACATATGATCCGCGAGGCACAGCTCTCTGGTCGTTGGGCCCCGTTGCAAGCGCTCTTGGAACAGCCGAGTTGCCACGTCCTGTTGCCCAGCCTGCACCGTTTCAGACTCTGGAGGAGACCCCTTATCCTGTGCCGGTAGGCTAACAGTGACAAACTATTGACGGCTTCCGTGTTGCACTACGCTACACCTGTATGGCCGACACCTGAAGCTATTAGGTTGAGGTGGCTGGGTGACCGAACAACCTATACAACCGCTTGATGTGCGACTCATGAAGTGCAGTCCTCCGGCTGTGGTGGCAAAATTTGCCAGCCTTCCTCCATGGCGGACATCACTGGAGGAAACCTACTTCTTAAGCTCTAGACTTGAATCACAGCCTCTCACACTGTGAAAATGCGCCCGCCGAGCCACAAAGGGCTGCAGCCAAAACCAAGCGTTGGCATCCCAGCTTGAGGTTTGTTGGGGGCGAACAGACTCAGAAGATGGCAACGTTTCGGATGTTGAGACCAAGGCTGGAATGCCGAAGCTATATATGCGTACTGCACAGATTGGGCGACTCCGACTCTACCATGTCGGACTGCACATCTGGTGCTAGCCGCGCTGCAGTCAGAAAGTGGCCTGCATTCGTCTTGATTTCGGGAGGGGCGGGAGGGTGGGGGATGATATTCTTTGAACACGAACTATCTTAGTGGCACATTGCTGCTGTTCGTACAAGCCCTGTTTTCCGGGCCCATGCAGCTTCCTCGCGGATCAAAGACATCGAGCTGTTGCCATAACCTTACTCAAAGAAAGCAGGGGCTTCGTCATGATAAATCGGCAAGCTGTCACGACAGCCCTGCAGAGAATTAACGACCGCTGCAGGCAGTCTGCTGAGACCCGCACTGATGCTGATCACGGAAGCCGCACTTGGAGTTGCCACCGCTGTAGCATAAGATTGTGGATCATATCCACCTCGGCTGCCCCACTGCTTTGGATCTTCTAGCTGTTCTAGCTGTCTGCAGCGATTGCCAAGGTAATGGAATGCCTCCACCATCAAGTAGCCAGCCCTACGAACACACTTTGGCTTTCGGCCAAAACATACAGTCGTGACGTGGAGCAGCTGCGAAAGCACGAAGGCTCATCAACAAACATGAGTCTGGCAGAACTCGGGCCAAGGATCAACGACGCCCAAACAGCTCTTTCAATGTTCAAGTTCTCGAAGGAGTCATGAAGATCGAACTCGCAGCAACCATGTCAGGAGCTCAGGATGCCACTTCCGAGCCCAACTCAGGCATCGAACTCCGGAAGCGAAGCTTTCGGTGACCTGCAGCTGCAGGTTGCAGTCTATAGCCTTCTGCTCCCAAGCCAACAATGCACAACTTCTGTATCTCTACGTCTCAAGGACTCGGCCTCGTTAGCCACGCTGCAAAAAACTCAAAAAACCTCAGAAAACCGGAAGAAGAAAACCACTATGTTCATCATGGGAGGCTGCACAATCATTCGAACACACTGAACCTTCAAGAAATGTAAATCACGCGAAAGGCATACCTAGCTACTGAAATCCATCAGACGAATTTCTACAAGCCTAAACGTGTTTGAACAAATCGTGAGAACAAAAGAGCACATGAATACATACATGTACAACTACACATGCACCATGTAACTATAGATCTACACTGTATATACATCTACACACACACACACACACACATATATATATATATATATATATATATATGTGTGTGTGTGTGTGTGTTATATTACATAACATATACACACACAGATAGATGCAAAGATTTCAGAGACATTATACCCTTCCAGGGCCCTGACATTTACAGAGTACACTTATATCATCCATCCATCCATCCATCCCTCCCGATCCCTTCCCCACTCTCGAGCCACCTACACTCAAGATTCCACAGATTTTTAAATGTCGGCATTTTGCTCACTCCCTTTAGGAAGAACGAATGGCTTAAACAATAGCTTCCTTTCCGGCATGTGTTTTTCAGGAAGGTGCCCATAATTTTCTCGAAAGATCCTAAATCCAAAACAAGTCAACCCGGAGCCACATGACACACACTGGGACCCCCAACGGGCGGCGAGGGAGGTTGAAGCGTACTCCCCCACTCTGCTGCCTGGCCAAGCCGGGGGGTCAGTATTTCCGTGATTTCGTAGTGAGCCCAAACAAAGCACCGGCGCTTAGTGGCAATAGTTTGCAGGTCCAACCAGTTTTGCGAATTTCTGTGCACTGCCAGGCACCGAAAAAGTTAGGCTGGTTAGGTATTGTCGAAGTAGGACTCCAGGCCTCGACATATAGCGACAGCGAATGATGCACGGCTCCGCGGTAAACAGCAAAACACACATGAACCACAGTGTCCCTCACTTGCATCGCCGAGCCCTGAAGGCCCCAAAGCAGCAGTCTCAGCAAGTCTGGAGCTCTGACAGTAGAAACATTCAGCCACTTGGAACGCCCGGAGCCCATCTGGACTTTTCCTGTGATCCAAGCTGCATGGAGGTGCCAGCACTGGCTCTGTTTTCTGGCGGCGCCTTCGCCTTCCAACGATGGAGTCATACAGGCCTGCCTTCAGTTCATAAACAGTACGTGGCACCGTGTCTGGGGAGCATGTGCGCTCCGGGTATTGATTGCAGGGCACTTGCGGGCACTTGGTACTGGGTAGCAACCACTGGAGCAGACCCTCATCGTACCCGGGCTCAAACTCAATGTCAACATACTGAGAGCCTTGGGGGTTTGAATACTACCTCGATCTAGGATGATCCAGGCAGGTGAGGTCTCTGGGTTCGCAGTCGGTTAGCCGTAACAATTCTGACTCTATAGGCATTGCAACCTATTTTCTTCCGACAGGCTCGAGGGTAGCATGCCAAACCAAAACTTGGGATTAGGCTGCAAGCCGCTATCTGCCATGCAGAGATGTGTTCGGCGTCACGACATCTAGTAGTCTTTTACGGACCGGCCTTGACGGAGTTCTCCTCCGCCTCTTCCCGGGACACCTCGCATGTCGAAGGCATTTCTAACGCCTCTTGGCTCAAGGCGACTCGACCTGTCCCCACTGCGCTGCACACCCTGGTATGCCAAACTCCAGCTGGGCAGTATGAAAGACAGAGAACTGGCTTGACTCTGTTTAAGCTTCAGCTGCGCATATCGCGAGGGTGCGTCAACACATGGCAGCTAATAGGCTAATGCTTTGGCCGCCCACCAGGACCTGCTCTGCTCGTCACAACATCCCTAACATTGCGTAGGTGGGAATTGTATTTTCCATTACTAAAGTCTGTTTGTACGGAGGGACTGCAAAAAGGGCAGCACATGAAGCTCCACGACTGATCTGTTCAACACTATTACGGGGCTGCAAGACGATCAGCTGATTCGTAACCACTGGCTCGAGGCCTCAATGACCAGATGAGCCTTAACGGCTTGCACCTGACCCGTGGGAAACAGATCGACCCATCCACCCACCGGGCTGCTTAGTCGTGAGCCGGTCCCATCGGCATGTTTCAGCTGAAAGTTCTGACTCCGAAAACATACTCGCTTGGCATGCTGGCATAGAAATGGGAAGCAATAGGGGGTCGGCGAAAGGGGGCAACGGAGGATGAGACGCACCCTCGCACTCCTGAGGCCTCGACAGTAGCAGAAGGAGCACAGACACGCAGTCGCTGAACCAGAACTTTCGGACCATCCCAGCGGAAGTTGCAGCCGTCAATATCCCATTTGACGGAGGGAGCCGTGCCGAAGAAGTCTCCAGCCAGGTCCTGCAGGACTGCATCGTTTTTTTTTGCCAGGGCATGGCTCGAAATTACTGCGCCCCTGGTGGACCCAGACCCCAGTGTCCGGAGGCGAGCTCAGATCCACAGCCTACTGATATGCATCTTCCCCAAGAATCCACATGCAGGACAATCTTGCCGGCCCTAGATAACTTGAAATATAACGAAAAGGAAAAGCCTCTCCGCGGGCCTCCTCTGACAACACTTCGACGCGAGGAAGATCTCCAGCCTCTCGCGGAGATGGAGAGTTCATGCCGCAGCCATGGCCAAGAGACGGGCCAGGTGCGCCTGGACGAGTGACACTTCGAAAGGGCTAATTAAAATTATGCCTTTGATAAGTCTAGCAGTTGCAGAGAAACTGCGGTGAATGATACAGATCTGCGTGGGGCGGAGCAAGAACAGCTGAGGGTCTTGCGAGTCGGAAGGGAATCACTTGTGAAACCTCCAGCTAGAGGCTTGAACGCGATGGTGAAGAACCAGTGGTCCCACTGCTGCAGAATTGAAGTCTTCCATGGCACTAAGCCCAGCAGTACCTTGCTGCAATTCGCGCAGCTCCACAAAAACAAGGTAAGCTTAACATTGTCCCTGAAGCACGAACAACTTCCTTCCATGCAGCTAATCGCCCACTCATTGTGGTCGATGCCCTTCACGGGTGCAGCTGGCTTGTAGAAGACAGCCAGTTCGTTCTCATCCGTTCTTTGGATACACCAGCAAGCACCTTCTCGATGTTCCAGCGGTAGCGTGCCAACGACTTCGTCAAATTTGACTCTGCTTTGCTCCTCAAGCTGCTGGCACCACACTTCTTCCAAGGAATCTGGCCAAGAGAAGTTTGTGCCATCTAAGCCAATCGCACTACGACTTCGCGGCGAGAAAAAGAAGCCCAGGTCAGCCATACAACTTCGTGACTCAAAGTCGCACCGTTCGGGAGTAATGCCGAGCAGGAAGCTCTCTCGGTTGGTCCACTTTCCGCGCACTTTCAGTGCTAGGCGCGTTCCACCGTTACGAAACTGTACCCAAGATCGTTCAAAACGACATTGCGGGAAGAGGACGTCTCTGCCAGAGACTTCAACACCCCGGCTAATCTCGAGGGTTGGAAGGTCAGTGTTCAGCACTGGTCTCCGATGCCACTCCAAATAGTCTACGAGGTTGTCGATCTCCAGCTCGCGAAGGAAATTTTCAGCATCCATATCCCGGCTGCGAAGTGCGAAACACTTCCTGCACCAAGTCACAAGCGCGAAACAACAACATTACTACACCGACAGGACGGAAACGAACACACATTGTATCATGAAAAGCTGGGAAGCCACAAACAAGGAAACCACTAAGTCATTAGGATATGCATTTCTGCGAGAACCATCGGCATCCCAAAAAGGATCATCCGGACGAGCATGAGCCTCCAAGCCTGGGAGGGCCTGGCATCAACAAACCATCGAAACATCATCCTCAAATTCACCATGCCAGCGCCAGCCAAGCTCTCCATCCGCGATCCTATCCTTTTCGAATATACAACAAGATAATATTGAAAAATGTTCGCAGACTTTCCGATCACACCACACTCACCACACCACAAGACTTCACGCAAGCAAAAACACACACACACACACACACACACAATCCCGCTGTATCCCGCCCGTCCCCACTCTCACCCATGCACAAGCAAGCACACTTAAGAAAACAAACGCACGCACACAGCGGCCAGCCACAAGTTCGAAGCGCATAAACCCACCAAAACAACCTGTCCACGCAAACTACGGAGGCAACAGAGTGTGGTGTCGCTGTCGGATCAGCGAGGCCTGCAGCAACGGACGTGCAGTGCTTCGGCCTCTGGCAGCTGGTACAGGAAGCCCAGCCCTGGATGCTCACCCCACAACTTCCAGCCGCGCGTGTGGAAGGCAGCGAGGCCGTCTCCCAGCAGCCGCAAGCAAGGAAGACACGGCTGGCAGGGGCTTGATGGTGGCCGGCCAATAAAACTGATAGATTTCGGTTTCTCTGCAGTCGGCCAGCCAATAGAACCAGAGCCACTGCGCCTGCTTTTCCAAGAATCCCCACCCAATCTTGGGGGTCAAGTGTTTGGACTTAAGTCTATACGTTGACATCGAAGCAAGATTCATAAATTTCAGTTCAAGTGTACTGGGGCCATTGGCACGGAAGTGGGGCCTCGGCTTGAAGAAGACTGCCGCCGAGTATGCTCGCTGTGGCACGACTTCGCCCCAGGGCCATTGCCTTGAAATCTGCCATCAAGAACACGTGTTCTGGAAGTGACTGTAAAAACTTTAGATCGAAACAGATTCACGATCAGTTTAATGCCTCACTCATGCTGTACAAAGCCGCTCGTTGGCATTGTATCACAGTCGAATGCACCTGTTACCGAGATTTCCCGACCGCTTCAAGCTAGTTTTGCCTTGCACACACGTCTTGAAGAACACAGAAGGTGGGAGCTCCCCGCCAGCTCATGTCGTAGCCGTGGTCGGCATGATCGGGATCGTCGTCGTCATGACTGTTATGATCATCGCTTTGCCCATCAGACTTATCATCGTCATGCCCACAATGCGGCAATCCTGACCGACATTAGCCACTCACGTTGCAATTGTGAAACATCATGAGAAAAATGTTTTTTTCTCACTAGTGCCTTCCTGTGTAAGCTAATACTCATAGACAACTCCCATCACAGTACACATGACAAATATTCTTCTTGTTCTTGAAGATCCCCATCACAATCGGCATCAGCAGGATCAATAAGATCACTAGCACGAGTATCAATCGCTGCCCCTTCTTCGTGCTGACTAGCAGTATCTGGGCAGCGGCGGCACGCTACGATGACACCGCGTGGTATAAAGTAGGCAATGCACGTTGATCATGCTCTATCTTCACCTCGTGATGTCACCAGCATGCTGCTAGTGGGTTGGCTGTAGCATATCTGACACAACCGAAAAACATTTCATGGCTGATATCTATATTCGCCAACGCCGAGGGCATACAGGGCATGGCCAGCGGTCGTAGCAAACTGCTCTGCGTTCGAGATACACGCATCCCAAAGACTCCAGCTCGCTGTCAGGCATCGCCATGAACAGTTCAAGGCTTCCTCGCCTGTAGGTCATGCCCCACCTGGTGCCTGGCAGAAGTGATGCTTTCTTCCTGTCCTTGGGCTGCAAAGAAAACCCTGGGTACAGCCGGATTCCCACACTGTACACATGGATAAACAAGGGGAGCATCCGCGACTGACCCGGTCAGCTTGCCCATCCACGAAGGCAGCACGAACTCCGCCTTCTGCCCTCCGAGCATCCCACAAATGTTGCCCGACTTGGGGCTAAACCTCAAGTCTCTAGCTTTGCAAGGGCAGCCAGTGTTTCAATGTTGGTATTTTAGGCCCCTCTGTGCGGCCGAACCATCTGCATCCGTATGTGTAGTATACATGTAGACGATCAGGTCCAGCGATGGATGCTTCGACCTTCTCGCTCATCGATCCTAGTAACATCATCTATCAATTCATCTAAATCTAGCAGTCTACGAATGTCGTATTGCACGCACCTGCAAACACGTGATCGAATTATTCTAAGCACTGCCTCCTCCAAACAAAGATCCGGTGTGACCATGGGGCGCCAGTGGCCTACAGCGCACCCATGATGTATATGGACCTACATGGACTTCAGTAACATGCGGAGGAGAGGCCAGAAGCCAATCTCGCCGGCGATCAAGCCCTGCGCCCGAGTAAAGTCGGCAGCACCAGACGGGACCAGGCCCAGCGAAAAGGAATCATGCTTGCTCCATCTTCCGTCAACTTGCACCTGCTTGCGAGCATGATCTATACGAAGTCTATAAGCCTTCGAATGCTGTCGGAATAACTCCTGAAATCATGGTAGAAACTGCCCGGTTCGGTGCGGGATGTGGTCCCTCTCGGGAGGCTGCTATGTGCTGTGTCATCCCACAGGGAACTGTGCCACTCAGCAAAGGCGCTGTCGTCGAACATAGCAGGGTGCAGTTATACACTCAAAATGGATACAACTGCCCCTGTCAACCGCAAGCTGAGGCCGCCGCCGAAATGCTGAAGGATCCGTCGGCCGAATCCGGTTTCAACTCGAAGCCCACAAGTCCGACGAGATGCCGGGGGTGCATGACGAGGCCCCCCTGGATGGAAGAACCATCCATGTTCGTGGGGCTGGCTGCGGGGGTTCAATTTCATTATCTTGTGGCTGTTACTTTGGTTTGGCGCCCGGTGCCCTCCTGGATGCGCAGCATTGGGTGGACTTCTTTGAACTGCCTTGGAGCGCATGTTCGGCTGACATAATTACACTTCGAAAGTTTAACCAGGACGGGGGTTTCGTTGGGCTTTCACGCAGTGCCTTTCAACTACCATTGCCCGCAGAAGCCCAACGAACCTTCCTCGTGAACAGGCAGGCACTCTTCGCTTGGAACTCACAGCGGCATACTCACACGACAGAACAGGAGGAGTCGCTGAACCCCTTCCAAGTTCTGAAGCTCCATGAAGCTGCATAACTTCAACCCCCGCTGCCATGAGCCGAGAACACCGCTCAAAACGTCGAGCTCCCAAGTTTCCCAAATTATTCTTACGCCTCAGGCGCCTTCCGCTAACATGCCAAGATGCCAGACGGTTGGGACCTGGCTGACTTCAAAGGCTCTGAGAAGTGAAAAGACCTCCGACTCGAGCTCGAAAGTGCTGTGCTGCCATTCCTTTTGCTTTGAGGATCGAGGCTAGGAGGAGGCTGCAGGGTTCCAGGCTTGGGCGTGTAGACTAGCTTGGAAAACAACCCCGGTTTCCTTCTGGGAGCTGTAGATTTGCGACTTGGACATGGCTTACTAATTTCTGAACAAGATCTTCGCCACGCACCGCCGCATGCGTCATTGCTTCAATGCACGCAGCATCGCAGGGTAGCCCTGTCAGACAAAGGCTTGGACATAAACAAACCCGCGGCTTTCATGCTCCCCACACAGTCGGTACCTTCACCAACATCTCTTTTCTTTCAGGTCGCTCTCAGCGGACCTGCAAAACCCAAGGAGCCGTGGCACACACAAACGTTTGCCTTGCATGGAACATCATGGAACCGTTCGCATCGCGACATTCCGCCATGCTCTTTCCGATGCCAGCCGAAGTCTGCACCGGACACGGAAAGAATTATCAACTAGACAAATGACCTGCCAAACAACGCGCTATCTTTTTGAGAAGGTTGCATGTCGAACATGTTGTGGACTCAACTCTCCTGCAGAACCCCAAAACCAAATTCTACGGCTCGTTAACAGGATGCCGAGCGTCTCGAGCTTCGTGCGAGAGCCGGTCGGCCGCCTTGTTCCTTCCGCGATTGCGCCACCTTGTGTGTAGCTATGTACTCTGCGACAAGGACCCCGTGATGTACTGTATGCAAGCTAGCATAATATGCACGTTTGTGTAGCACTGTTTCATGAATGAGGGTCGCGGGACATTGCTTCTGGGAACTTGACGCTTCGCAACCTTTGCTGTTCTTCAGTTGCAGGTTTCGACAGACCTCCAGCCCAGAACTGTTCTACTGAGTCACGGCTTTGGCAAGCGACGTGCCGTTATCTATTGAATCTGTGCCACAGCCATTCGGGCTTGAGCAATTACCGCATTGCGGGCGGCTTTAGGAGTTGCTAGTTTTTCGCGGAACTTAAAGAATTAAGGACCACTGGTCACTAGTCTTCGTCTTGTCAAGCGATGTGGTGGGTTGCAGGGTTGGGAAACATGGCAAAGCTACTTCACAAGATCGACCGTGACGTTCTTCCTCTCCAGCTGCCGTATTGCCTGCCAGAAAGACCCACCACCCCGTTGCTGTTTCAGGCTTCACCTGTGTGAGAGGGACTAAAAGCTTAGGTGGGCTGCCTGAGAGAAACCGTGACTTGCGAGGCTCCAACAAACCGTCAAGTACTTAAGAGACTCGTTGAGAAGCCTACCTCCGGCCTCACTGCCTTGCACCACTATCACGAACCCCGACATGATACCAACCTGCCTCGTCCACCAGTTGTGCCAAAGCATCCTCATCCACAACTTGCAGCTTCGATTGGCAAACACACGCTTGTGATCGAAGGTGTTAGGATGTTTGGGGTGAGGAAAGCTCCAAGTTAGGGTGCTGTTCCAGAGACACTGCGCAGTCCGTCTGCGGGCTCTAGGACTAAATCGGCTGCAGTTTGTGCCGTAGGTCAATGGGGTTCAAGGCTTGGTCAGGAAGCTTCACGAGCTGATTTCAACAATTCCTCCAGGGCTCCAGCTTTGCTTCGACATCGGGATGCTCACTGCGCAAGCTCTGCGCCACAGGACCTCCGCCGTGGCGGTCGACTACAAGCTTGCAATCGCCTGCGGCCAGCGGGCCAGAATGAGCTTTGAAGGGATGCAGCACGGAACGGACAATTCTGATGCCCAACAGATTCGAAGAGCAACTAGCACGGCTTGTTGACACACTCGACCCAACCCTCCGAAACCTTGATTCATGCTCATCGTTTGAGTAGCAGATATGGCCTCCTTAAACCCGAAAACTTGGAGTCCCTCATGAAAGGCGGCGGATTCCCCCAATCCAAGTCCACCCCAAGAAAGCTCTCAGCAATGCCTTCGATGAAAATCACCACCGGGGCCGGCTGCAAGGTGGGCAAACTCTGCTTGACACCACGCAGACCAATCAGCAGGCCAGCATACTCCATGAGCTCTGGACAGGATTTCGGATGGTACCTTCATGGGATCACAGGATGAAGTAAACACACGTCGGCTGTTGCGTTTCTGCACAGTATCCTTCCAATATCATCACGCCCTACAAAGATCAAGAATCTCGGGCTTCCCCTACTGTACGGTGCTTGACTGCAGTTCATAACTAGATTCCGCGGACCAGCCAAACACAAGTCATAACGGCGAAAGACTGATGTAGCAAGCCTCTGTCGTATCCATGCATCAGCAAACGGTCATGCACAGAACGAAACGAAACTTAAAACAAAGCATATGCTTGAAATTATCTACAGGATTCTGCAGGCGCACGCAGGCTTGCTAGTCATGAGAAACTTCCCCGTTCCACAAGTCAACCAAAAGCCCGAGGTGCAGCATCCACGTCTTCCCAGTCCGCCGATCCGGATGGCCTGTGCCTGCCCGAAGCCGACGGAGGATGGCTCCTGTTGGCTGCAGGACTCTGCAGGGCTCAGGCATATTCGGAATTCTAGGGTCTGAACGGACTTACTGGCCTAGTTTCCTAATGCTTCTACCAGTATCGTGGAAGAGGCACAGAGTCAGGAAACGTGAGTGTTACGTAAGTCTGTTCGGAGCATGCGGCAGCACTCGAGTGGGTGTGTGTGTGTGTGTCAGAATGGGACCGCTGGTATTTCAAGACACTTAGGCACTAGCCAATGTGGTGGCTGTGTTGCTGCAACACAGAGTCAGAGGAGCAGTAAAGGAGAGCGGCGGAGATCTATGCTAGGCGCTTGCCACCCTCACCACAAGGCTTCAGCATCGCACACGTGAACAGGCATCTTGAAGTTGCTTCACCCGAAAGCGTCCGCAACAACAAACTTTAGAAGGCAAACCCGCAAGCTGCACGATGCCTGCGCCACCAGGTCCATGATGTCCCCCATCCACGCCGCCGTCGAAGCACAAGCGGTAGGCTCGACCTGCTTTCAGGCGGCTCGAAGTGCAGATGGACGGCAGGCTTCACATATCGCGAAAGTTGGGGCATCTCGTTGTGCAAGCGTTCCAGTTAAACTCATGCAATGATCGAGCAGATCCGAACTCGAGAAAGGTATTCGAGAACCAACAAACTGAAAAAACACAAGCACAGACAAATGCATGCACACTGCACACATGGTTGTGCGCAGATCACATGTGAAACTTCCAGCCTCGATTCTGGCGTAGATGTGTGTTCAAATGCATGTAAGTGTATGGCTGTAGGTATGTAAGTATGTATACACTTCTGCATGCATGTACACATGCATACACGCGTGTCTGTTCGGTGTTGGTCTACGTCTGATCATTATGACTATAGTGCAGCGATGCAAACGTGCAAACGGTACATCTCCAACATAGGTAAGGTAAACGCGAACAGACTAACTGACTAACACACACTACTCCGCCTTATCCACCTGTTTAGCTGTAAATCCTGTGAATCCAACCTTGCGATCGTTTCCAATTGGAGCCCCTGTTGCTGTGGACCCTTCTCCTCTTCTTGTCGATCGCTATCATCACACATTTCCTACATTTAGATGGAAAGCCGCTCAATCAACCGATTTTTTTGCCACCCGCCCAGCTGAAACTAGTCGCACCGCAGGGAACTCGTCAGGACTCGAAGACTTGAAGAGAGGGGCCCCAGGGAAAATACGTGTGCCACTTCGAAAGGCCCAAGAGCAATCAACCCAATTGAAAAGCTTGAATGTCACACCGCTTCACCAGAGATTGAAGATTGAAGATCGTCTGACATTACGCAGAGTCAGCGCCGCAAAACCCAGCCGGCTTGAAACAGCTTGGGCTTCAAGCCAGTCCAGCGAAGATTGAAGATCCCCCGGAAAGTTTTGACAGGTCTGCAGTTTGCGATGGATTGGGTTGAAACTCAAACCGGTTCAAACCACTCGCCATGCAATCGAACGCAAAACTTTGTCTGAAATCTTCAATATTTGGGCGAGCCCCCTTGAAACTCAAGCCGATTCAGCAGCTATACAATGACCCCTCGGAAACATGAAACCATGTATCTTATCGTGCAATCCCTGTGGAAATCTGTCAGTCACTGAGTGAAATTATCCTGAATGCCTGGTGTGGTTTCGGAAATGTATAGACGCTTCAACACAAGCTACAGAAAAACGTCAGGCAGAATCTACGGGGGCAAAGCGGGTGCGGAGAATGGCGGGGGAGAAGGAGGGGGAGGGGGACGGGTAGCACATATGTACGTATGTATGTATATATGAAAACATAAATATATTTGTGTATATATGAATATATACATAAAATATATACAGAGAGAGATTGATAAATAGCTACAAGTCAGTAGATTGATGTAGATAGGCAGGTTAGATACGAACGAAGATGTAGGTAGAGCTAGGGATATGTAGATGTAGATACAAACAGCCACGGACAATAGATAGAGCAGACCTCCAAAGGGACGGAACCGGTCAAGAGAGTCTCATACTCTATCGAGCCATGGGCTTGCACCGGCCCCTGCCTGAAATTTCTCGGTCTCGCATGGATTTCCGGGCCTGCAGCTCCTCCGACGCAATCCTTCCACCGACTTCGGGGATGCACGGGACCGTCTCCGCGATCTGTTCGACCTATCATGACGAAGGAAACATAGAGGGCGCAATCCGGAACACGAAACTCCCGTGGCCAGAACCGCTATAAGACTGAAGCATGCATCTTTGACGATTCCAAAGAAAAGCCTAATTACCAAGCTAAACCTGATGTTGAATTCAAGGCCCCAAAGGGGGGCCTTGCGAGCTGGGGGTGTCAGCTCCTGCATCTCTCTGCCGACTCGTTGGCCTGGCCCTGGCTTGGCCATCCGCGAGTGGCTGGGCGCGGGCACCCGAGACCCTTTGCCAGGCTTCCTTGCCAAGATCCTTGACACTTCAGCGCTTCAAGTCTAAACGGCCTGTAAGCCCACGAGATATAGGACTGTAACTAATTACTGTGGGATATGGGCCATGGGCTTCACGAGCGGTGCATTCGGCTAAGCACCGAAGGCTGTTATCAAGGAGACTGGTTGCGGACCAAGTTCTACTGCTTCGCTGTTTCACTTGAGGACAACGAAAGAGCATAGTCTTGCTGTCCTGACCAAGAATCATATCGATGGCACCTTCCAGATCTTCGTAAACAACCCACTCATCTCCAGATCCACGGCCAAGTTCGACCAGGCTCTTGAACACGGGTGCACTGCGCCGCTGCTCCACAAACTTGCGACCGTCCGCGGACCGTTGTGCCGTTTGGTCTGACACTGTGCTGGTCTGAAAACCACCGAACAAGGACTGCAGGGCCACGTTGTCCATGGCCTCCTTTAAGTTGTTTGCATGCGCAGTGGCGACCAAAGCGATGCCTTTGAAACCGATGCGGCATGCTGCTTCCACTTCCTCCTGGCTTCCAATCTCGTCAATGACCTGCACGGTTTACATTCTGGCAACAGGACTTGCTGTCGAGTTTCCCAAACATTCTTGCCCGGCGAAGTGGATGAGAACCCTCACAGCCAATTGGACTCTCCAAAGAAACGCATCCCTCCTCGACCTCTTTGCAGCGAAGCAGCCAGCACCTCCGGCGTATGATTCTGCACCTTTGCACTTTGCGCTCGACTTGCAGACTAGCAGCCCACGGCAGGCATGAATGCGACACGCGCGTGGCAGGCATGAAGCCCAAACTACATCCACATGTCGAATTTTCAAGCTTGTACTGCAGCGCAATCTTAACCTGACCATCTGTACTTGCAACTTGCTCCTACAGGGCCGCTGTATCGTCCAAAATACATGCCTACTAGCGGCTTCTGGCCGCACCTGCTGCCCAATGCTTTGATTGCTCTGCGGTGGTGCGCTGCGATGTCCAGCAATTACGCAAAAAGAACTCGCACCGTTCAACTCCAAAGGCGCCGAGCTGCCGCTTCCAGCATGTCCTGGTGCTGGAGGCTCCTGTCCGCCACTTGCATCCTTCGCGTGGTTCGGCCGACCGCAACATGTGCGCTTCTGCCGAACCTCAGGGCCCAGGGTTCGGGTTTAGACGAAGCATGGCCTGCTGACAATCAAGCGAGCAAGCTTTTTTTTTTGTTTCTCTCTCTCTCTCTCGCATTTTTATAGTGTACATACATGTCTATCAGACTATCTACCCATTCGTTTGTCAGTCTTTTTATCTATCCATCCATCTATCTACCTGCCGACCTATCTACTAAACAGCCATCTAACTCTAAAGCTATGTAGCTATCCAGATATCCATTTGTCAGTCGAACTGTCTACCAATCTATCCGTCTGTCAACCCAGTTTATTGTGAATCTGCCTACCTACCTCTCCAATTATCTATCTGTCTATCTGTCTGTCTACCTTACCTTACCCAACCCTACCCCCTGCCCTGACCTGCCTCCCTGCCTTGCACTGCTCTGCAGCTCTGGGCTATGCTATGCCATGCTATAGAGCTATCCATCTACCTATGCCCTACTTGAAGCGGATCTGAGTGGACAGCTGCATACCTCCCATGCACTGTGGCACTGTGGCTATGGTCATCCAAAAACGACATCGCAGCAAGAGCGGAGGCTTAACAGAGCGAGCTCTATACCAGATGACAATACATAGACATTAATGTATGCAAAGAAACACCCACACCCACTCCCACACGCACAAGCGCACAAGCGCACAAGCGCACAAGCGCACACACACACACACACACACACACACACACGCACACACACACACACACTCACGCAAATATATATATACATATATATATATATATGTGCGAGTATGTGTGTGTATATATATATATACATAATTCGATTATTACTACACGATATTGTAATATATTATACGCGTGGGACATGGGTTGCATACGGATATATCATATATCTAGTCAAACCTCCGTATCCGTCAAATCATTGCGAGCCAATGTATCGCAAAGAGACCCACAGATTTCGCTCGAGGTGTCGATGACGAACACGCGCCGGTTGAACTCTTCGCCTCAGGCGGCGATTCGAGTCTCAGCAGTCGATAGCTAGTCGTACATGTCGGAGTCCTGAGAAAGGCTCCAGCACGATATCTTCAGAGTCGAGTATCTTAGGGAGCGTGCCACCTCGCGCAGGAGGGTCGTCTTGCCGCACCCGGGGGGTCCCAGAACCAGAAGCGACTTTCCATCCTTCAAACAGCAGTCAATAGAAAAGGTTTGGGGCTCTAATGTCTCTGCAATATAGTGGAGCTAAACGCTTGTGACCTGTGTTTACCCAGAGGCTCCGATTAGGCTATTTACTGCCAGGATATAGTTAAGTTAAATAATGACTATAGTTAATTTTCAGGGTATTATTTTTAACTCTAAAATAGTTAATTTTTATAGTCAATTTTCATGAATTAACTATTTTCAAGATCATTGCATATCGATCAGTGTATATGGGGGGGGGCGGGGCGGGCGAGAAATATGTGTTGTTCTGCAGCTGTTTCGGTTCTGAGGTTAAGCTAGACCGGCCCGTGAAAGGTGGCTGCTGCTGCAGCCATGACACAGCAGCTGTTGCAGTTTGCAGCGAGCACTCTTGGAAACAGCTTGGAGTTGGAAGCCGAGCAGCCGGAGGCTGAGGAGCCAAAGGTTGAGGAAGTCGAGGCTGAGGCCGGTGAGGCACCCGGTGAGGCACCCGGTGAGGCACCCGAGTCGGCTGAGCCTGAGCCGAAGCCTGGAAAGCCAAAGGCCAAGGCAAAAGCGAAGGCGAAGAGCACAGCCAAGGCAAAACCCCAACCCAAGGCCAAAGCTAAGGGGAAGGCAAAGGCAAAGGCAAAGGGCAAGGCAGCCTGTAAAGCAACGGAGCCAGAGGAACAGGGCGAAGACCAGCCAGAGGAGGCTGCCAAGCCCAAGAAGAACAAGAAGGAGGTGGACACGGCCGAGGCCCCCGTTCCCAAGAAGCCGAAGGCAGGAGCTGAGGTGGAGTCGCAAGAGGGTGGAGACCCGGACCCGGCACCGAAGCTGACTGCAGCTGCTCGACTGAAGAAAAGGGCAGAGAACCTCGTGCCAGACGAGGAGCCCACAGCCGAAGAGGTGCCCCCGGAGGAGCTGGAGCTCCAGGTGGCTGAGAAAAGGGACAAGAGGAAAACCAGGTTTTTCGAGGCCAACCTTAAGAAGCTGCCCGAGAGTGTTCAAAAGCTCTTTGCCTCCAAGGAGGTGAGTCGTGCAGACAAGACTCGTCTTGTCAACGAAGGAGTCGTCTCCAAGAACGGCAAGTGGGAGCTTGCTGTTAACCCGCCTGTGTTTGAGGCCCTCACCACAAGCTACTCGAGTGTGACTGGATCCACTCGGGACAAAGCCTACCCCAAAGCCATCATGATTGGCAAGTGTGCCGGGGAGGAGAACTTCCTTCGTGGACTCAGGGATGGCGACATTGAAGCCACGACTGAGAATGGCAAGCAGATGTTCAAGTTCCGGTCCCTGGAAGTGACGGTTACCACTGGTGTGAGGACCGACACCACTCACAAGAAGCAAGCAGAGTCCGCCCCAGAGGCCGAGAACCAGTTTCTTAGCTTCTGCGACAACTTTGACCCGGAGCTAGTCAGCGAGACTGTGCGGCCTGAGTCGCTGTCGCTGCGGGTGCCCGAGCCGCAGCCTCTCCAGACGGGATCGATCCCGAGCACCTTTGCACCCCCTGCAGTGCTTCCAGGACCTCTGGCGATCTGCGACGGGGCCGTGGATCTCCTGCCTGCAGACTCCAAGACGCTAGGCAAAGTGGAGGATGCCTTGAACTGGATCGGGTCTGCCAAGACGGCAACGATCAAGTTGAAGAAGATCCCGGATTCGGTGACTTACTGCCACTTGAAACAGCAGCTTGACTCTCGGTGGGAAACCCTGCTGCCAATGCAGGCCCAGCTTGAGCACGTGAAGCTCAGCGGGAAGGCTTCCCAGACTGGCTTCAGAAACGTGATGAAGCAAGTCGCCCAGACCCTTCTGCAAGTGCAGGAGCTGATCAAAAGCATTGCAGCTTTGAACTAGACTGCTCTGCCGGGCCGAGTGATGTCGAATCGCCGTTTGGGCCCTGATCGTTCCCATCAGATGGGGCTGCAGCTGGCATCCCGGAGCTTAACTTTTCTCAGAACCGATCCTGCAGCTGGAATCCCAGCTTTAGAACCGCAATTAGGCACTAGTGCAACAACTGCAAGGGCTGGGGCTCCTGTAGCAGAGAAAAGAAGCAGGGTCTTCCTGGAGCGAACTTCTGTGAAGTGTCTGCAAGGTTTTCGTTGCGAGCTCTGTTCCTGTCAGCTTAGGATGTTTGTTGCAGGTCTGTTGTTGACTCGTGTGTGCTGCAGCCGTGTGAGCTCGAAGAGCAAAAAGGGGGACCTGTATGGTCCCGGGAGCCCCGAGGCCTGCATGGGATTAGGGCTCTAGAGTTTAGGTTCGAGGTTTAGGGTTGAGGGAGAAAGGGGTTTTCAAACTATAGCATAGCTTGCAGGTTGCCCGAGCCAACCAAGATATAGAAACCACCAAAGCCAATAACAAGAATCGGGAGGCTTGGCGGCTAGGGTCGCAGCACCCTCACCAGACCACTCCTCTTCGGAGGAGGTTTGGCGGTGAGGGGTTTGCTGTTGATCTTAGCCAGACCACTCCCAGATCTGGAGACTTCGGCCAGACCACTCCTTTCAGGGAGGCTTGGCGGCCGAAGCTCCAGGGCCTGGAGTCCAGGCCACAAAAAATTTAATCGAAGCCCCAAACCTGAGCCGCCCCCAACCCAACCGCCTTAAGTCCCAACCCGAAGCCCCCAAAAAAAACTTTCTGTGCAGGTCCCGTTCGCCTCCGTCGCCGCGGTCTACCAGCTGGGAAGTGGTGGCAAGCCCTGCAGACATGCCCGAAGGGCCCCGCCGCCGGAGCCCTTTCTCTCCAATCCCGGAGCGACGGGGAAACTCCGTGGAGGAGAATCGGGCCATGAGTGTGGACTCCTCCACCCGGAGCCACCGGGACCCCGACTTTATGAAAGATCGCCGGGGTGAGGAGGCTTCTAGGTCGGAGGCCGAGAAGGAGGAGGATCCAGAGAAGAAGGCCTTGCTGGAGGCTCGCTTAGAACAGGCGAAGAAGGATCTGGCAAAGGAAAAGGAAGCGAGCCCCGGTGGAGAGCAGCTGGAGCGGGACGAGAGGCTCGTCTCTACGATCCCGCTCACATTGTCTCCTGAGCAGGAAGGGAGCGAGCAGGGCTTGTACTGCCCTTTGTATGGGGCACACCAGTGCAAGAAGTATCTCACGACGGAGTGGGGCTTCAAGCAGCACTTGCAGAATAAACACGGGGTGCCAAGGGAAGAGGCCTTCCTTGTGGCCGAGTCCCAGTGGCGGCAGTTGCCTGGCAAGGGCAAGAACAAGGCTGCTAAGGACAACAGAAAGCCCAGTGAGCCTGCTGAGCCCCCCAAAAGGGACCTCGTGCTCAAGCCTCGTCGTGATGAGAGGGAGATCCGGGGCCCGAGCCCGAAGGTATCCCGGCGGTCGCCGGAGCCATCGGAAGCCGGCACCGGCTCAGCCGGCTCGCAGGAGGCTGGGTTTGCCCTGCTCCGCCAAATGTGGGGAGATCTGGCGGATAAGGTCCTGAGATGATCCCCCGTCCGTGCGGTTGAGGCCTGCTCCAGAGGGATTGCAACCCAAGCCTATAGGACCCTTAGACAAGAATATCCTCCAAAGCCAGGGCCCCTAAAACCTCAACCCAAGCCTATAGGACCCTTAAACAACAATAGCCTAAAAAAGTAAGTTGCAAACCCTCTGTTGAAGCAAGCAAACCGAAGCACTCCACCACGGAGCACTCCACCACGGAGCCTTGTGCAGCCCTGCTCCAGAGGGACTGCTATCTTAAACAAGACTAACATCCAAAGCTAGGGCCACTAAAAAAGATAGCAAACCCTCTGTTGAAAGCAGCCAAACCAAGGCAGGAGCGAAAAAAAGGCGCTTTTCGCTGAAAGGGGTTTGGGGCTTAAGGTTTTAGGTGGGATGGTAGATTAGGGCCTTAGTGTTTTAAGGGTTTCGGGTTAGGGTTTTAAAGGTTTTGGGTTAGGGTCTCGGCTTTCGGGTTAGGGTTTTAAGGGTTTTGGGTTAAGGGTTTTGGGTTAGGGTCTCGGGTTTCGGGTTAGGCTTTTAAGGGTTTTGGGTTAGGGTCTCGGGTTTCGGGTTAGGCTTTTAAGGGTTTTTGGGTTGGGGCTTCGGGTTTGGGGTTTCGGGCTTGGGGGTTTCGGGTAAAGGCATAGGCACCACCCCCCCACCCAGTCGCCCACCCATCCACACCACCTCGACCACTCACCCACCCTCTCACCCCACCCCCCCGAAAGCGCCCAGGCGCCAATTTTCTTAAAAACAAATCAAAAGCACCACATGCCCCATCGAACTCAGTGGAAGTTTGGTGGAAGTTTCCCGGAAACTTCCACGGATACGGTGGAAGTTTCCCGGAAACTTCCACGGACACTGTGGAAGTTTCCTGGAAACTTCCACCGTGCTGCTGGAAGTTTCCGGGAAACTTCCACTGATCAGTGGAAGTTTAATGGAAACTTCCACTGCTCGGTGGAAGTTTCACTGAAACTTCCATTGGTTATTACTCTTGCTACTATTGCTACTATTGCTACTATTACTACTATTACTACTATTACTACTATTACTACTATTACTACTATTACTATTACTACTATTAGTATTATTGCTACTATTACTACTATTACTATCATTATTATTACTATTACTAGTACTAGTACTAGTACTACTACTACTACTACTACTACTACTACTACTACTACTACTACTACTACTACTACTACTACTACTATTGCTACTATTCCTTCTATTACTACTATTACTACTATTACTACTAATACTATTACTATTATTACTACTATTACTACTACTACTACTACTACTACTACTACTACTACTACTACTATTACTACTATTCCTACTATTATTACTAATACTACTATTGCTACTATTACTACAATTACTATTATTACTATTATTATTACGATTATACTACTATTACTATTATTACTACTATTGCTACTAATACTATTATTACTACTATTACTATTATTACTACTATTACTACTACTACTATTACTACTATTACTACTATTACTACTATTACTACTATATTCTACTACTACTAGTACTACTACTACTACTACTACTACTACTACTACTACTACTACTACTACTACTACTACTACTACTAAAGTTACCTGGAAACTTCCAGGGCTCGGCGGAAGTTTCCAGGAAACTTCCACCGAGCCGTGGAAGTTTCCCGGAAACTTCCACCGAGCCGTGGAAGTTTCCGGGAAACTTCCACGTGATCGGCGGAAGTTTCCCGGAAACTTCCACGTGCTCGGCGGAAGTTTCCCGGAAGTTTCCTGGAAACTTCCACGTGCCCGGCGGAAGTTTCCAGGAAACTTCCACCAAACTTCCACTACCTTTGGTGCCGTTTTGGAAAATGCAGCCCAGAATCTTAAACCGCAAACCAAATTTTGCAAAAAAGCGAAAGAAAACACAGCAAAAATGGCGCTGAAATTAACAAAAAAATAAAAAGCAAAAGCTCAAAATGTAAAAACAAAAGCGCCATTTTAGCTGTGCGACTGGAAAAGTATAGTATTATATTAGGAGCAGCAGCACTACTGGCTGCATGATGTAGTAGTAGTGGTAGTAGTAGTAGTAGTAGTAGTAACTTAGTAGTAGTAGTAACTAGTAGTAGTAGTAGTAACTTAGTAGTAGTAGTAGTAGTAGTAGTAGTAGTAGTAGTAGTAGTAGTAGTAGTAGTAGTAGTAGTAGTAGTAGTAGTACTTATTATAAAGTAGTAGTAGATATAAGCATGAAGAGAACCCCAAAACACCCAAACCCGAAAAATCCTCGACCTTAAGCACACACCCAAAGTTTAAAAAACTTACACCCCCCAAATCCGAACCCTACCCTAAACACCTGAAGTCCTGAACCCCCCGAACCCAAACACCCAAAATTTAAAAATCTTAAACCCCCGAAACCGAACCCCACCCTAAACCCCTAAACTCCTAAACCCCCCGATCCCCTCCCCATCCCCTCTCCCGTCCCCAACCCCCCTCCCCGAAACCCCTAAACTTCCAAACCCCCCCACCCTTCCCCCTACCTTCCCTCCCGGCCCAACCTTAGGGTTCAGGGTTGAGAGTTCAGGGTTGGTCGTCTTCCGTCGTCGTCGTCGCGGTCGTCGTCGTCGTCGACGTCGCCGTGGTCGTCGCTGTTGTCGTGGTCGTCCTGGTCGTCGTCGTAGTCGCCCTGTCGTCGTGATCGATGTTGTAAAGCTTTCGGCTCGCAGCCATGCAGCTGCTTAGGCTTAGAACTGGGCCATCGGAGGATTGGCCATGGAAGCAGCCGTGCTTGGAGGCTCCCGGCAAGGTGTTCGGCAGAGAACTGCCCGTCTGCAGGAAGAAGAGGAGGAATCAGAGCTCGCTGTGCATCTGTACCGACAGTTCCTCTGGGGTCATCAGAGCTTGGCACAAGTCCGAACAACCGCCGGGCTTGCTTCGGATGAGTTAACCCGAAAGCGGGCAACTGTTCCGAAACAGCTCGCCACCTTGGCAGGTTTGGGAGGCAGCACAGACTTGACCCATAATCTCTGGAGAGATTTGGAGCGACGGGTGCAGCCGCCGTTCTTGGAACCGAGATATGAGATGCTGCCATTGAATCCTAGGCCAGGTCGCATCCCTTTCTTTGACCCGGTGCAGACTTTCGAATGCCTGCGGACTCGACGTCCAGAGTTCTTCAAGGAAGTTTGCCTTCCCTCGGTTGATGAGCTGGAGGAGTTCTGGAACCAGTGCTCTGGACACCCGGCCCTTCGGCACCATCCAGTGCGAAACATCAGAGGCTTCCAACGTCGGGCAGTACCGCTCGTTTTGCACGGTGACGGTGTGCCAATCACAGCCATAGGGGCGAGCCAGAAGTCCTGCGCTTTCATTAGCTGGAGATCCCTGTTGTGTCAGAGAGCGGCCAGCAAGTGTCAGCACCAGCTGATG